AACAGAGACAGGATTGCGGAGAGGATAAGAGCAACGTGGCCGTAGCAGCGTGCGAAAGAAACCGTACTTTTATTTATTCCTAAGAATACCCGTTTCCGGCGGTAAAGGCCTGCTTGTCGCGCCCCGTTCGATTAACCAAAAACTTTCACGGAAGCGCGAGCCGAGTCGCGAGACACCGACAAACGGTATACACACACGCGCGCGCGCACGCACGCACGCACACGGCCGAGACGAAAAAATACTTTCACGAGTTAATTAGCGCAAATTACATCTCCGTCGAGGACACGATAATTACAGATTTTCTATTCCCGACAGCTCGTTTCACCCTCGGAACCCATTCAATTTACCTTTGCTTAAACGAGACGCATCAGCGTATCCTGTGTGCACAAGGGTATACGAACGGTTCTCAAAAATGTACACGAGACACCGTCGATCGTAGTTGCTTGTACGTAAGAGAACGCTTCGGGTAGCGATCTTGAAAAGAACCGATCGTGTACGCAGCGACGAGTATACATACATAGTTGGCTCGCCGCCGCGCCGGCCGGTCTGATCAATTACAGCATAATCTCCTTTATATAGACCCACCTTTCAGAGTTTGTAGGAAGGAGATTATACTATAACTAATCAGACCCGCTAGTCGATTTATCGTAATTTTAATTAAGAAAATTTGAGCGGTCAAAGCACAGAAGAAAGATAAATAATTGCGTACTGTCCTCTACTCGCCTAAATGTTTAATATTACCACCAGTACGTACCATTCCGTTTAAATTGTTTAATTGCCAAACCGAGCCCACTATTCCTGTTAACGTAACCGCTGTCGCCTGAAATTTAAATACCGAGACAGTTAGTATCGGTTGCGTTATTAGTACGCACCGTTGAATAGTTTGCGCGTATTCCCCAGGGTAATATTCTTAGTTTAGTTCCAACACAATTTTCGCGCCTCTAGTTTCCCATCCTCGTGGTTAAGGACTTCCAGGGGGTGTAATTCGCGTCGGACCAAGACTCCGACGCACACTAATTCGTACTTTGGGGGCTTACGGACAACTAACTTACCCTTAATGCCCCGCTCGTGTGCTATTATTGTCTTTGACGACTTCCGGCCTTCGGCTTCGTCGTCTCGTTTCTACAATCTTTTCCGATAACTTCTGTTTCTGTTTCTGGTTTCGAAATAAACGGAAACGGTAGGTGTTCGACGCGTAAATCATCGTTAGAAACAATGAGACGCAAATGTAAATTAGGAGCAAATTAAACGATCACGATTTTAAAGGCTTTTAGGGGTGGAACCGGGTCTTCCAACCTATCCTCTGCGTGTACGTCGCTCGTCTAGCCGCGAAAAAATTTGTAACAGAACGCAAACGGCAACGAGGAAAGATCGTCGGAGAGACCGAGCGAAAGGAACGCAAGAGGGACGAGAATCGGACATTAATAGAGCGCGAAATCCGAGGGTCGCGCGACAATCAGGTTTCGCGAAACAAGTATTTTTCATCAACGCATACGGTGGAAACGCGAACGATTCTCGATGTTCGATACACTCGCAAAACCAACCCTATTTCGTTTATTATTCCGATACCGAACGCGATGCGTCCACTTTCTTCCGCGTTTAGCGATCCTGTATAGACCCGATAGCGACTGCCGCCGATGCGAACCGGACAATCCCAATCCCTTCTATCTCGCTCAAGTGTCTTTTTATATTTCTGTTAATTGATTTTTACACTCCGATACACCCCGACGAGGTTGGTTGTTCCTTTATAGTATCCGCAACGAAATTGGTCCGCTGCGAGTTACGATATGTGTACTCGGCACCGAAACTAATTAAAATCGAGACGATTTCCTCGTGACTTTGGCCACCGCCACGGTTTCGTCGATCCAAGAGAAATCGGTTGGTCGAAGAATAGCGCAGTTAGGCGGTAATCCCTTCGCGCGAAATACCCCTCGTAAACTTCCTTTCCTATGTTTGCTATCTTCGCGTATCGCCGCTCGGCCTCCCTGTCTCGGCGCGCAAACGCCAGAGGTCGGTCCTGTGACGGTATGCCAGAACCAGGGACCCGCTCGAAACGTCGCCGAAGTAGATTTTTACGCGCTTCGATATGATTAATATCCCGGTGGAAGATAGGAGAACGCCAACGACGGAGGGACCAAGCTCGGGGAGCTAGTCGCATCGGAGGCGCGACAGAGAGAGAGAGAGAGTGGGGTTGATAGGCGGGAAAAGGGCGAGCGCGGGGTAACCAGGAAGGAAGAAAGAAACGACGGGAGGAGAGGAGAGCAAGGGAGACGGATGGGACGAGGCGGTTGCGAGGTGAAAGGAAAAAGATGAGGAAAAGGAGGGTGAAGGCAACCGAGGTAAAAGGGAACGGTTATGGGCCTGGTGGCCGCTCGGCGTACAGCAAATCCCCGTCAACCGCATTCAATTACGATGTTATCGCGAATACAGATGACGGTTATTTCCTTCGGTACACCCTATACGTAACGTTTGCGATGCGACATGGTGTGGAGCGGCGGTGCGACGGTGCGACGGTGCGGTGGCGCGACGCTGCCGTCGCCGTCGCTCCTCCGTCCAAAGTTAAGGCAGTATATCGTGTAATGGCGGGTTGGCCGGCCGCCCGTGTGATTGCTTTAGGATGCGCGCCGACAATACACCGGGATAAAGCGGCTCCGATTTCGACCACGAGCCTTCCGTCCCCTTCCTGGAACCGTTTATTGTCACGATCTTCCTCCGCGGTCATCGCCAAAATCAATTTCTCGCTCCTATTTAGCCCTATTTCATCTTTCCTCTATCCTCCAATGGCTTTTCTCTCAGATCGGTCCCTTCGATTCTCGTTATCGATCGTTTCTTAATCACCAATCTATTCCAACGTACGAACAATGCTTCGAGGAAGAGAAAAAGACGCGATAACTACGAAGAAACTTTACGCGAACGCGTCCATCTACGCTGCATCGCGATTCCTGCCTTCGGAGATCTATAGCGTTTACCTCGACTACTGAAAAACGATTCTCTAGGCGATTTTATTAAATGCTACGAGTATTTCCCTGCAAGATCTATTCGCTCTTGTTCCACGATTTCTATTACTTCTCGTCGATCGTAGCCATCGAAACGAATCGATCCACTTTGCGAATAAAACTCCACTACCGTCGAGCTTATTTTTCAAGTTTACGCACAATCGGTACGATCGATACACCGAAGCTCCATCGGTGCCCTAGCTTATCTACCACCAAGAGTACCGCGCTTTGCTCTCCTTCGGAGTCTCCTCTCGCCTTTCGATGCACGGTTTGTCGAGCACGACCAACCTAACGGCCCACCCTTGGCGTTTTCGAGCGATAAAACTTGAAATACGAGCGCGCACGGTGGTCGAACTTGTATTCGCCGCGACCGAAAAGGATGTTTGGATCATAACGTCGCGTACTTTTGTACACCCCGTTGCTTCCACGAGATACTTTACACGGTTGTTTGAAAAGGACAACCCGTCCCCCTCCCTCGTTTCTTTGAAGCTGCTTTTTTTTTCTCGAAACCTCCGATTGCTCTACACGACGCTCTAATCATCGGAGAAAACGATCATCGACTCGAACCGTCAAGCTCGAGAATCTTTCGGGTTACAGCTCCGGTCGAACAGCGTCGTTTCTAATTTTATTTCACTTTTTATGATCGTTGCTAAGAACTATCGAGCCAAGCAGAAGATCGATCGTTAACGTCGATTCGTTTATCGAACAAAGAACGAGAGATCGTGGCGGAACAAAGCGTCCCGACACGCGTCCAGAGCATCGCGACGCCGATAGAGATGGACCGACGGGACGGCGCGGCGCGGCGCGGCGCGGCGGTATCCTTCACGGGGGAAAAATACGAGGGAGATTAATTGGAAACTTCTTCGAGCGAAACAGAGACGACAAAGGATAGATGGCGAATGCTGGAGGGTGGAGGGTGGGAGACAAGGAAGATCCAAAGGAGAAAGAAAGACAGAAGGGAAATTGAGGGAAGCGGGAAAGAGAGAGGCACCCTGGAAAGAGGAATAGAGACGGGGACCGTTAGAATAGCCCGAGGGCGAGCTTTTTGCCGAACACATAATGCATAGCGAAGGATGACACCCTTATCTCGGGATCTTTAATTCCGTGTGCCGCCGCGAGGGGGTTGCCGCGTCGTCATTTGTCGGTTGCACCGTGTTGGAATCAGGGACGAGCAGAGTGGGTGGATAAAACCGCCACCGCTGTTAACATCACCGTTGGATACAGGGGCTGGAAATTGCCTTGGCTGATTTCATTTCGGGACAGATTATTTTAAGGGGTTCTGCTTTTCTTTCTCCGCCTCTTCCGCGTTCCACGGCCGTTCGACAACCACTACTCCCCTCCCATTTCGTTACTCGCGAGAGTGGATAATCGAAACCAAGAGCTGCCAGCGATCACGAAATGCGTTACCTTTCGTGCTTTAATTATTCGGTTAATTCTTGCAATTATCGGCCATCGTTTGGAGATGTTCCGAGATCAACAACGAGAAGGAGATTGAACCGCGGTGAATGGATCGGGATCGCGAGTTTTAAAGACTTTCAACGTCCTATTATAAAGTCTTCACCGTGCATAATAACATTCAACTCCGTGGGTTGGAAGGCATTAGGGAAATCGCGTGGCCACCCCATGGCTGTTTCACCCTCGCCCCTTCCAGGTCTCCCAGTGTCGCGGAGACCTCCGTTCCTAGCTACTTCATCGCATCGTGCAAACAATACGACCTCTACAAATCGTTAGATCTCTCGTCGCGTAGCCTGTCCTCGATTCTCTTGCGATTCCCTTGCTACTGCCGGGTCAGCGAATAAAACGACAACGGTAACAATAATATCAAGGATTACGAGAGTAAAATACAAGAAATATTGCGGAAAGATTCGTAAATAGAAAATTGATACACAAACCTGGAACACGTTGCAGCACTTCTATCGCGATGAGAACGTAGTCCTGGAAGTGAAATGAAGATGCGCTTGGAACTCACAGTATTGTATTTATAAGAATGTTATATTTTCTCGGTAGTAATGGGAGCCCCTAGCGAGGCGATTCGTAAATATGTTAGTAGTGCGCTAATAAATGATATTTATATACAGATGGATAAAAAAAAGAGGTAAGAGTTCGACTCTTCCGTGTTAGAGCGCGATTTAATAGTATGTACTTTTTCTCTCTCGCTCTCACTCGCGCGCGCACACACTCTCTCTCTCTCTCTCTCTCTCTCTCTCTCTCTCTGTCTCTTGTTGCTGCTACGCTAACTCTTTTTTACAGCATCCTCTTTGCAACCTCTTTGTACTTAATCGATACGGTGGATTCGAATTTGCCTTGGAATTTTGAATAATTTACAGTGGTCGAATCGCGTTGCGTCTCGTGAAAAGATTCCCTGGGTCGAAAGGTGGAACGGATTTGAGATCAGCGCGAATGGAGAGAAAAGATAAAACGACGGCTTGTTTTCTCGTCCAGGGAAACTTTCCACGATCGTCGCGGCAAGGCTTCGAATCGATTCGGAACAGATCCTTTATCAGCGCACGCATCAATTATCGGATAGCCGTCTGTCTTTTGGTATATGTGTCTCACCCTTTTCTCCCCTATGCCTCTTTCTTTTTTGTTTGTTTTTGGCATTAAAGCGTAAAGCCACGAATAAGCCCCTCTTTTATCGCGCGTTCGATCGTACGCGCATTGAAAACGTACCTGCTTCGTTCAGAGTTCGAACGCGAGACGGAACGATTTTCCTGCTACAAGTCGGAACAAATTCCATTGCTCGCCCATAGTCACCGAAAAAGTGACCTGCCAGGCTGTTTCATTATTCCTACCGTTGCGTCTGTCGTCGCTTTGCACAGATCTGCGGGTACAATTTAGTTTTACTCCCTCGATTCGGGACGGGAGAACTGGCCTTGTTGAGCGGACAGTCGATGTTGTTCCGACCGTAGTCGATAGAATCGCCACCTGTTACGGTTATTATCACTGCGTAAGGTATTCCGAAATTCGGAACTTCGGTTCGCTCTCGAGGGTCATCGAAACTTACATCGTTAATCTTTGGTATCAGCCATCGTAAAACGTTTGCCCGTGATTTCGGTTCGTATATCGAGATTTCGACGTTACCCGAGATACGTCGAAACGAGTTGTTTCTTATAGATCTCTGACCGAGTGGCCAGAAAAATGAAAAACTATCGCGACGATTCTAGTTTTCCTTTCTCCGGTCCTACTCGTTGCTTTCGTCTTCTCGATTGCCTGTTGCAGCATCGAACAGCGACGAATCGCGAGTACCATAGAAATCATCGATGAGTCTGCGTATACTGACAGTCTTTCGTGGTCGCAGAGTCGACGCGATACGGATATTTACAGGGAAACTCTGCTACTTACATGCACGCTCTCTTACACACTTTTCATCAGGCTCGCGTTTAATCGTTCGCTTCTCTCCGCCGCTAGAAATATATCTTACATAAATCGTTTATCTTATCGTTACATGTCGGTACCGTATATTACAAAACGCGTGGTATGCGCCTGTACACGTTTCCTCGTGTCCATTTCGTCTTGGTGCGCCTGTTGCGTGTACGTGGACGCGTAACGCGTCTACGGTCCTATCATCGATATATGTATATTCTCCGTAAACTTGTTCATAGTTTTCGCGATCACAGTAATTATTCCCAACCTCTCGACAAAGTCTCAGAAAACGTTCGTTCGATCGCTCGGAAGCGTCCGCGAGATTCTCGACGGGGGATCGAGTCGTTTGAACTCGATTACGCGGCACGATAATCGTCTCGGCCTCCGTCACTCTGGTCCTACTTTAACGCGTTACACTCGCGGGGGGTTCCTCGTTTTTGCTTCGTCGACGTCCTCGCTTCGCCGGGGAGCGTCAGTCTTAGTAACCGCTGAGACATCTGAGCTTCTTCGAGGGAGGCGACAGCTCGTTTCAGCTGGTCGGCGCCTGCACGGACATCGGCGGCGGCTTCACCGGTCCGAGAGCCGGACCCGACAATCCGTTGTTGTTCATATCCCCGGGAGCTCTGGGACCACCGACGCCTATGGCCGTTCCGTTCACCGTCGGTGTACCCCCCGACATTTGACCCTACATCCACAAAATGATCATTCAACGATCCGATCATCGATCATGCAACGAGGAACAAAGAAAAATGCGAGCCGATCTTACGATAAATGTTCCTACCGATGGTGGAGATTATCGACGCTTCGCCTCGCGTTTTAATCCTCTCGAGATCAGTAAATATTACAATTATTTCGATTTCGGCCGCCGATCGGCGGGTGATCGTCAACGACTATCGCGAACGTGAATCTTTTTCTCTATCGTTTACGGGACACTTACGCATCGTGCCGCGCCGCCGATCATCGTACGTTAATCCGCGACGCTCTGGTTTCGTCGACTCGAACGAAATGAGTAAACGATAATCACCGAGATTTCTCGACACTCGTTACCAAAGCAAATAGTAACGAAACGGTTGAAAAGGATCGAACGGGGTAACCATTGTGCAAGGCAAAAACGGTTCTGGTCATGCGAGAGAAGGCCACAGCGGTTTCAATTAAAGCAAGACACTCTTGTCGTCGATAACAACGACCAAGGCGTTGACGGTTTTACGCACGCGTGCGTGAAACGCTTCAAACGTTGCACCTCTCTTAACTTACGTTCGACACGTGATTATGTTGACCCACCGACTGCCCAAGTCCCTGATGAGATTGCTGTGGATTGTGACCCGGATGCATGTTCTGGCCAGGCGGTGTCGGCGTTGGGGGTAGCTGCCTTTTGATGTACGCCAGCGAGGCGGGTGTTTGTACCGACATATTGGCGAACGCGAGCATCTCCTCGTAGTCGTACTCGCAGAGGATTTTGTTCTCGCACAGATAGAATCGATCGCCCACGCAAAACCTAAAATCAAAACCAGACACTTTCGAGGTTTCACGCCGTCGGTCGTCCCGTTGCGGAGCAGCGCGCCGGTTACGCGCGCGACATTTTCCCACCTAGCCGTTAGGGTGTCGATTAAAAAAGCCCTTCGTGTCAACGAGAAAGAGATGGGAAAATTATCGGGCGTGTTTCCTTCTAGATCGTGGCCGCGTTGCACGGTCCGGTTGCAGCGCGATTAAAGAATCGCGTCGGGAAAAGGCGCGAACGAATTAAAATTGCAAAGAGAAAGGAGAAAGAGGAAGAAAAATTGGATAATTGTTCGATCCGGTTTACTCGACGGTAACCGTTGGCTGGTGGCGGGTAGGACTCGTCGATAATCGGTTGATCGTCGCGACGAAAAGGTAAAAAAAATACAAAGAGAAACAATGGTAAAGGGGGGGAGCACGGGACGACCGGTGGATAACGAGCGTATCGCAACGTGTCGGACAAATAATTATTATCGGGCTTCTGTCCGCGAGCGGTCTCACATCCGCTTTGATCCCGGTAGGAAATACGAGAGCGAAATACGAGAGCGGCAGAGTCTGGTTCGAGGTAGATACTCTCATAATCGTACGGCAAATAGAATTATCGCGTTGCGCGCGGCCGTTGCTGGCGAGCATAGCTTATACCGGGTTTCGCTCGTTTCCCCCATTATACGCGTCGTCTGCTAAATGACGCTGTACTCCGATCCTCGTCCGTTCTCTCTTCCCACCGAGTCCCACTCTCGCTCTCCTTCTACCCTCCGACCGCTCTCCGCTCTCGTTATTCGGCTGACAATCACCTGCTGGTTTCTGGTTCCTCTTCCCTGCAACGCGATGGCTATGGGTCTCAAGGTGCTTTCCTTGCCGAATTGACCGTCAGCTAAACCACTCGAGGTTATTTACCTTGTCCGCTTCGTCGCGACACTACCTTTTTTTGTTCCAGCATTTTCGCTGCTCGCGTTCCACGAGATATACATAGACCACGAAGGAGTCACGAAGACTACTTCTTTTCACGTAATTGTCCGTTTCTGGATATTATTAAGAGGCAATAAGGCGATCCAACGGTTCTCGAGGTTCGTAAGCTTGATTTTACAACTCGTCCCGCTGCCTGGATCGGAGCAAATACTGCCGGTCGTTGCGCAACGAACGGCATTATCGCGTTGCACGAGCGCACCCGTTCCAAGGATCCTATTATGATCGCGTGAGTAATGCCGCGCAAATCCCGGTCCTTTAATTCCCGCATCCGGTGCAGGTGTCTGTCGCGGCACGATACTGCCGCGCGATACTCACAAATTTTCCACTTTTCTCTAGTATTTTCGTACCGGTGCGCGCTCGAGTTGGTCGCGATTCGTTGAGCGCGCGTTTCTTTCTGCTTTCTTTCCGAATAATATTGTACGATTGCGGTCAGAGGGGCAGCTCGAATCGGTAAGGAAAGGCCAACCAGCCTTTCAACGCCTCGTACAGACTATAAAGTTTCCCGAACGAACGTAACGCGTGTATCCCAGTTGTTAACTGTACGGTTTATCGTGTTCGGTTGATCGTTGTTCCTTTGGCCATACTATTTGCGCGAAGGTGGAAAAGGCGAGAAGCGGCGGGCGAACGCGACCCTGGAGCAACACCGAGGCTGAAATATTAACCGATCGCGGCCGGAAGACGAAGGAAGAAGGGGGGAGGGTGGCAGAGGTGTGTGCGGCGCTATCCCGCATGGAAAATTTCAATCTAGAACGAAGGATGGGAGTGGTCCGGGGACTCGGATAACTCTGTTGAATCTTTAACGAGGATCAACTGGCTCTGCGAAACCCAGAAGCTGCTGCCCGAGACGCGCAACGATTCGAGGAAAAATCGTACACGGGTCGGATCGCGCGGAAACGAATGGCGGGGCGGACCGTACACTCCGACGGCCTCGAATGCATAAATAAAAAATAACCGGTGCCAATGCGTGACCCCGTTAGAGTCACTTTACGGGACATGTTCTTTCGGTGCCGGTGCAGTTGTAACGTTCGCCAGTCGGCCGGCCGGCCGGCCGTTGCACCACCAGGACGTGCGAAATAAAACATTCACTGGCCTCTCCTCTGTGAATCCTTTCTTCGAAGGGACACGGGTTTCTTGGATAAAATTTGCATACGCAGTCGCTGCAACGTTGAATCGTCCGGCCACGCCGAGGGACAACCGAGAGACACCGTGCGCGACGTTATCGCTTCGATTCGCTTTGGGAATGTTGCGCGTTCAATGTTCTCGAGAACGCGACGCGATAGATAGTACACTCTACGGTCCGAGAATAATAAGAAGAAGACACCGGCGGCGGCGAATTAGCAACGTCACGATGGCAAACTGGAATTTGTAGTCGGCAAATGCATTATTAAATGGGCGGTCGTTAAGTTTGACCAAACGTGTTCTCGCACGCGTGCTCGGGCAACGTCTCGCTCGTGTTCGCCAAGAGCCGAGGAGTAGTATCGGTGCACGCAACACATTCTCCGGTGCACGAGGAGCGCGACCCACAAACAGTGAGAGATATATACTCTATCTCTCTCTCTCCCTATATATATGTATATATATATATATATACATATATATATGTCTAATTGGATCGGTAAATCATCCTCTAACCAGGAGGGTGGTAGGCTAGACACCGCCACCGGCAACCCTTTATTCTCTGTTATTACAGTCTAAAGTTACCCCGTGTAATTGTTGCTGTTTAATTGCAAACTCTAAGTCGTCGCGTTACACGACGCGGCGTGGAGCGGCGCCCCGCGTATAATTGCCCTCCTCGAGTTCGTTCGCTCGTTTTTTACCGAGAAAATAATTGGAACTGATTCCTGGTACGCTACGAAATATCCGAACGAGGGTAGTTGGCCCGAATCGTCTCGACGATCCCGCGATCGATTTTCTTTCTACGCTGTGCTGCAACGTTTGCCGCGCAACGCGACTAGATCCACGATCGTCCAAGGTTTCTGGACTAAATGCTCCGAGCCGATCAACTTGCACTCTCCTTGCTAGAGTCATCCCCGAAACGGTCGTGTAACCTGTTGGGCCCGTTTCCGCTCGAGAAAGCCAAAGGGTTAGGTTTCGTTGATTCCGTCCAAGTCGGTTGCAAGGTTGAACGCGACACGATGCTTTGGGCATAGGAGCGTGGCGCGGCGCGGCGCGGCTCGGCGTGGCAGAAAGCTACGCTGCTGCCCGCTCGCCGAGCCATTGTCGAAGATAGACAATGCCACGCGATAAAAACGTAAAATTGATGCTCTTTTGTTCGCATTGTTTGAGAAGCTGTACTACGTTTGTCGCACGCCTGGACGAGCCACTGTTATTGGCTCCAAACTACATTCTCCTGTTCCGTTCCTTCCGTCCCCCGCCGTACCGCGACCTCCTCCTCCTCCTCCTCGCTTTGGCTCTCTTTCTCTTTCGCACCCCCCTTATCCAGACCGCTGCCAATTCGCTCGTGTTCGCCGACAACCCCTCGAACCCTACGTTTCGTCAATAAGCCCGGTATTGTGCTTCGCTACAGCTCCATAGTTTCGGCGTTTTACATTGACCGGATTCCAAACAACTCGTTTCTCTACTATTTTCCAACCCCCGGCGTTCCCTCCGTTCGATACCGTATCTTTCTTAGATTTTTCTCGACGAAACACGCGATCCATTTTTCCGACGACGATCAACTTTCTTGCCGACCACGCTCGCGGATGTTCGAAACTACGCTCGGACCAAACGATACAACTTTCGGTCGCGAGCCTGCCCGGTACTTATTCACAGAGACCGTGTCTCGAGCAATGCCTGGTATAGAAAAATGTCAACGGTATCTAGATAATTAGATAACTGGTCTCGGGGGTCGTCGGCAGAGAGGACGAGGGGAAAGACCCGGGACGCTCGCGCGAAAAGTTGCTCTCTCCTGCGTGGAATGCCACCCCAGCCCGAAAGAGGAGGTTGCGACGGATAGAGCAGAGGGTGATTTCCCAACTGACCTGTAAACCAACTCCCGAGCGAACTGTGTCTCGCAAACCAGTACTCGCTTCTTTCCTTTCGTCCCTTCAATATCCCACCTCTCTCTCTCTCTCTCTCTCAACGTCCTTTTGTCTTTGTCCGTTTTGCATCTCGTACTCGATCGCGAAAAAATTACCCAACGTTTGGTATTCGATATTCGGATAGCTAGAGCGTGGTTGGTCCAACTTACCGGTAAGTGCACTGCTGACAGGCAAAACAGTCCAGGTGATATACGTTCGACCTGGCCTTCATGACCAGTTCGTACGGCGGTATCTGTTTCTTGCAGGCCGCGCAGTTGCCCGTATTCCCGAACAGCCTGAAGTAGTCCCTCTTGCAGAGAATATGGTTGGCCTTGGTGAATAGAGTCGATCCGACTTCTCCTAACCTACAGTCGCAGCACCCGCACTTCAAACAGTCTTCGTGCCAGTAGAGGTCCAGGGCCTTGAGGAGATACCTGAAGCACCGACCATAGTTTTCGTGCTTACCGACTAGAAGTCTGCACCATCCTCAAAGATAATCTTCAACTCGCGTGTACGAGACGACTCTCTATCTTCGGGGTACGCGTTTCTCCTTCTTCCGTCGAAGCTTTGTTCGCGGTCGCTTTAGATCGCGACATTCGGTGGTTTTCGTCGCGGCGCTACACGACGCGGCGCGGCGTCTAATTGCTTACCTATCGGTGATCGTCTTTCCGCAACCAGCGCATTCTTGTTGCGTGGTGCCATTTTTATTCGTCTCCGATTTGCTCACGTCCATAGTCATCGTGATGTCGGCTAGAATCGCCGTCTGGAACAAACAAAGGACACCGATTCGTGAAACGTTGACGGCGGCAACAAAATCATACTGCGCGTTTCTCGAGCGGACGCCGCGCCGCGCCGCGCTGCACCGCACCGCGACGGAGCATCATCCGGTCGTCGCGTTTGAAAGATCGACGAGAATCGCGGCCGGGTGCATCGATCACGGGAACGCTCGAATCGCAGGGCCCGAGGTGAAAAGCGGTGGGAAACGCGGACGAGAGCAAGGGAGAGGACCGACCGCATTCGCGGGAACGAACGCGTTCTAAAGACGGTTCGAGAGCAGGGGGCGACCGGCTATAATGGTGAGTGGGTGCACGCCGAGGCGAGGGGGCTTAATTAATTAGCCGGATACTTTGAATAACAATCCATTATTACATACAAACATCCTCGGCCTCGGGGCCGAGCTGTAGCTTTATGCTGCTAATTGGCCTTCTCAAAGCTTGGAGACTCGGGCACGAGTTATAAACGCCACTCCTCTAACTCGCCAGCACCCCTCCCTGCCTCCGCTGCTACCGCCACCGCCACCGCCACCGTCATCGCCTTCCTTCTCCTCCTACCTTACGGATCCTTCTCTCTTCCTCTCATCTTCCACCCACACCTATTCTCTCTATCCTTCCACCACCTTATCCCGGTTTCGCTCACTTTCCTATGCACATAAAACTCACACAACCGCGTGGATACGGATACGGATACGGATACGGATACAGATACGGATACGGATAGGGATAGAGGACACGTAAAAAGCGCCGGATGAGAGTGTATTGGTGGTTGGATGGGCGGATGGGCGAATGGTGGGAACCAAGAGAAACAGCTCGGCAGAGGGAGGGACGTAGAGTCGGAGGGGCGAATAAGGGGTCGGTGGGAGAAGCAGAGAAAGAACATGGGGCGAGGAAGAGTAAGAGGAACGACGGATAGCGCTAATAACGCGCTCGTGGCGCAAAAAAAAAAGGAAGGAGTATAATTGCCAGCCCTCGTGGCAGGTATTTTTCAAATAGGACCCCGTCCGTTAATTGGAGGGCAAATTAAAGAGGCGCCGCAGAGGAAAAAACATCATCCCTCTACGGCGTATCCCCCTGGCCCCCTCTTAGCGAGTCCCACCTACACCGGCATCCGAGAAACGCCTCGTGATTCGTCAAACGATTTGTGCGCTCCATTTTTTCTCCAGATTTATTTTTTCCTCTAACGACTCAACCCCCCCACCACCCCATCGTCCGTCGCTCGTTCTCCTTTTTCTTTTTGCTTGGATGGCGCGAGCGCGCTCGTTTCCAATTCGATCGATAGGATCCACGAGAGAATATTCGTAACGAGAGGAGAGAAAGCCTGTGGGCCAACGACCAAAGGAGCAGAGCAGAGCAGAGCAGAGCAGAGCAGAGCAGAGCAGAGCAGAGCAGAGCGCAAGAGACCAGACGATATCGAATCGATCGCACGATCGAATGCCGATTCCCCGACGGTGTAATCGAAACTAGAATGCGGCGATACGATACGCGAGATCAATAACGAGAAAGAGTCTCTTTAAACTCTCCCACCGCCCACCGCCCACCGGCCACCGCCCCCCCCCCTCCCCCCATCGTGGCCATTAACACGTACCCGGTCGGAGACTTTTTCACGGATGTATCGTTGTTTGTCGTGCACGCGCAATATCCAATTCCGATCGAGCGTTGGACCGTGGTTGTTGTATCTGGGGCCAGGCTGATGAAACGTTAGATAAAATTAAATTAATCCCGTCAATTTACCGTCCCATTATTTCGCGACAATGCGCGACGGTATATTGGCGGCGGGCCGACGATACCCAGGCCTCGACACCCGTCGATTCTGATTTACGCGGCCACTCGCAGGAGAAAAAAAATTCCCTGCTCGTGCCTATCGACCGCGTAAAAGTCGTCATCGCGCAAGAAACGGCTTACACGAGACCGGGGATTGTCGTCTCGAACGTAACGCAATCGTAAAGTGAACAGTTGATTTATCGAGGGGGCCGTGTCTACGTATACGGGGATGGTGGTGAACGCGATACAAGGTCCATCGTTTCCACGCCGACTGTCTTCTGGCTCCGATAGGAAAGCGGGAGAACCGGGCGCGGATACAACGCGGAGGCTGGAGGGTGGAACCTAGGGGATATATATCCGATCGACGGACGAATCGGCGACGGATACGACTTTTTACTCGGTCGATATAAGAGGCACCCTTCCGAGATTACGAAACTGCCCTAACAGCAATATGGGATAACCTACCGGGCAACCCAGCCTCGTGTCCCGGATCGCCGCTGCGTCCTCCCGAGATACGCTGTCGCTACGGACAGGGCAGCCGGTTGGTTTAATAAAAACGTCAAATATAAAGTAGCCGACGGGGACGGACGTTTAGGAAATAAATAAATGTAAAAGAAGCATACGAGGGAAGGGAAAGAAACCGTCTCGTTGAGGGAGGGCTGGCTGGCTGGCTGGCTGGCTGGCTGGCTGGCTGGTTGGCTAGCTGGCTAGCTGGCTGTTACGCGTCCGTAGCAAAGAGACAAAAGAGCGACAAGAGACGGACACGCGAGGTTAAAGGGAAACTATTATATCGTTCGAGAGGACAAGAGGCAAACTTGTTGGTACGTTTGTTTCTCTCGATCGTACCAGCAGCACTACTGTATGCATCTAAGCCAACGTTAATATTCAGAGACGAAGGAATCGAATAAGAACGCACCTGTGCCATCGAGGTACGAGTAACGAGGAAAGAGACGAGTGGTTCAAGAATTGGAAACGAGAAGGGTAAGTTCGGGAGAAAGAGTACTCGGATACGAGACCCCGAATCGAAAGGCAGGCAGGCAGGCAGGCAGGCAGGCAGGCAGGCAGGGCCTGCACCCTCGTTCTCGTTGAGTCACGTTCCGCTTCTTGCCGCGTGTCCTTCGAGCCGTGGATCGAGCCCGCGTACCGTAGACGAAGCGGAGCAACGTAGTCGAGGGTATACACGTATACGCGAGCGAAACATAGCAGGGAACGAAGCCCAGGACAGGGCAAAGTACAGGGCACGGCGTGCTGCATAACACGAGGCGGCGCGGCGTGGCGCGGAGCGCCGGGCAAGACTGCAATTTCGGGGTTTAATAATGATCCCAGCCGACGGCTCAAAGCTGTATCCCGTGTCATTATACTGTGAAGTGGAGAGGCTGCTAATTAGTCATTAGCGTAGGAAAAAGACACCTTCAACGGGCTCGGGAGCAGCTGCAGGACGGGCAGCAACCCCATCCGACGACGGACGGTGGTGCACAGGTACGGCAAACTTGAGCAAACAGGGTGTAGCTTCTAGCCTACGTCTAATTGGACCCTAGCGACGTAAGTTCTGCTAATTGAGACCAGGCCTGTAACTATCAGCAGCGCGACAAGGGCCTTCGTAAATTCGCAGAGATCGACGCGACGCGCGCATACAAGCCTCGACGAACAACACTCTCGGGGCTTTCGTTTCTTTTCGTCTCGCGGAACGTTCGATTTTTGCGCGGCAAGGATCGCTAGTCTTTCGGATCGTCGACCGTGAATCCAACGTTTTTCTTACGCGTAGCGTTTCGTAAAACGTCCACCCGGCCGCCGCCGTCCTCCCGCTACTAATTTCCATCCTATCTACGCATATATTTCATGGTCTACAAGTTATTAGTTTCGCTCCAGTAAGCGCGATACAGTTTGCAACCTATGACTAATTGGAAGTCGGTAACGTAGCTGCAAGTTTCGCTAATTGAGACGACCAGTTTAGTAACTACTAGAGAGCGCACGAAGGGCGTTCTCGGGGAAAGGAGATTTCTCAAGGAGAATTCGAATCAACCGGCGAGCCTTAATTTCGCCCACTCCTCGCCTCCTCGGCGCCCAACACCACCCGCCCGCACACGAGATTAACGTTTAATTAAGCATCGGCACTCGACTACGGCCACGTCGTTCCTTTCCCGAGTCATAGTTACCCAAGATACGAAACGAAATCGCCGACGCCACTCTCGATTCGACCTGGCCAATTAACAAACGCCAACGGCACACGCCTTTGACTCGCGCAATTACGAGTCTCCAAGTTTCGCTGTCCGAAAATGTTGACGGGTAACCGGCTACAAACGAGCGAATCGTTTGCGATCATTCCACGATGGAAGCAAACGAGCAACAAGAACGCCAAGGACAGCGGACAAGAAACGCAATCACGCGGCTCGTCGAGCCACCCTTTCCTCCCGTCGAAAATCTCCTCAAAATACAAACGCGAATCTTGAACTGCAACACATGTACACGCGATACAACATTATCCGGGGATCGTACGACGAATCCATACGGGGGAACGAGATACGGCGAATCGATGACAGAGAAAGAAGCCAAAGGATCAAGAGGTTGGAATCGAGAGAGAGAGAGAGAGAGAGAGAGAGAGAGAGAGAGAGAGAGAGGGAGAGAGGGAGGGAGAGAAAGGGGAGTGAGAAGGTAGGTAGAGCCAAATTTTAATTTCGCCCCTAACAAGGGAAGGTACGGCGTAGGGTGCTCCTCGGCCCCTTCAGGACCATGGTATACCATCCTACAGAATCATTATATCGCCAATTAGAAGATAGCGGAGCTCGCCGACGCCTAACAAGCTTCCTGGGGAGACAGATCTACTCTCGATCCTGCCGTTATATGCGCAGGCAACCGTGCCGGTGGTGCTGTCTTCGTAGCGAGCTCGTTAGAAAATATTCATCTCGTTGTACTCTATTCCTCTTTCGTTGCGGCCGCTATTTCGCTGTCTCGGTACGCGACTAGATATTTACCAAGCTGCGCGGCGACAATTAGCCGGCAACTACGCTAATTAATATCACCAGGAATAACGCCAAATTCCGTCCCCGCTGTTATTCAAAACGTTTCCTTCGTTATCCAGCGGTTATTGGATCAAAGGTGGCAAACACGCGAGACAAAACGACGAGACTACCGAGGAGCGAACAATAAATTCCGTTCATTTACGATAGGTCGAAAAGTAAAAAGTGTTACGATAAATTGCGATTTATTTTCAAGTTTCTCGCCGTGC